GGGTTCATTCTCTTAATGGCTATGACCACAAGACTCAAGTAGAAATGAAATTCCAGATTTTAAGAAAAATATTTAGGCTTATGAATCACTTAAACTAGATGTCTAGATGAATTGTTTGAAAAAGTTTACTGAATTGGACTCAGACACCACCTTCAGGCCCTTAAAAGAATCAAGTTCTTTAGGGCTGATTTTATGCTATTAAATATAGCATAACAATTTCAGTAATTCTTGCTAATCTTCAGACCACATACAACAAGGTATAAAACTAAAAGGCAAAGGATAAATTCTTTCATATACAAGCAGTCTTGCAAAACCCCCTTTGAAGTTGATTCTCACGTTTTTACTCTACAGAGGAGGAAACCCAGTATCAGAAAGCATGAGTAATTTAGCTAAGTCACAGGAAGTAAATAGTAGAGTCTGGATTTCTAGCTGATTTCTGATCTAAAGTCCAGAGCATTTATCCACTCTATCCCAGATGTCTCTCTTAAGTTTATCAAGTTGAGTTAGTTGTCAAATTTTTGCCTGTTGGTTTGTTTTATTTTTACAATGTAAGTAAGAATATCTGTTCCATTTCTCTGGATGTTTAAGCAACAAAGCAGAGATCAAAAATAATATTGTATTAAAAAGACTTACAGTCTCATTAGTTATACAAATTTAAATATTGGATAATACAGAAAACATCCGTAAACTAACATATAAAATGTTCTTCTAGTGAAAACTTGGATCTCCTTCTTATTTCCTGAGCTTCAAGCCACTGTAATAGTTTTATACACAATATTTATGTCTGTATTCCTCATTACTAGCTGCTAATCATGTGTTCCATTAATGGCCAACCTCCAAAAAATCAGAACTAAGCTATTAAAATAAGTTTGGGATGATGGCAATTATACGAATAACTAAAGCCAGGATATTTTGAAATTCAAGGAACAGGAGGGACTTTCAGCACTTGCCTATGATCCATCCTAGCTATTACTGAATGCATTGCTTTGAAGTAAATATTTTTACTTTAAAAATGTTGTAAGATATGGGTTTTATATCAGTGTTAAATCTTGACTGATTGATAGATACGTTTTTCTTTCTTCAAATAGAAAATATAGGATAAGCAAAAAGTATCAACAAAATGCATATATTCGTATTATACAGATATAATAAGGCTCAAGGAAACAAAAGGTTATATGGTTAGAATGCATGTTATATAAAATATTTAGACTTGTAATAAATAACTCCCTTATTTACAGTACACCTCCTTTCACAAGAGACTTGAGGTCTCATGTAGACTTGAGACAACTCTGGTAGAAAATGTGCAAATATGGAGAAAAGGGAGAATGCCCCATAAGGCAACTAATATATAATAAAAGTTGGAATTTGAAGTCTTTTTACAGTATGTATCAAGTGGTATTAATTTTTCCTATAAAAGCTCTTTTCTGGGTTTCTCAAGGTTGTCTTGATATTTGAAAGACAAATTAAATTTGTTCTGCATTGTCCCCAATCGTATATTGAATAGATGAGAGATACTGAGATATAGATGTTAATACAATTTAAGGGAAGACTTGCAATTATGTCCGGAAAATCCTGCATTCAAAATTGAGATAATAATTCTCCTTAATGAAACTTGAGAAAGAGTAATAGAAAAGAAAAACATCAAATTTCAGTTAAAAATATACAGTTGAAGCACAAAGCTCAAATTCCTACTTCATAGAATGATTACAATTTTTATAAAACAGAATGAAAAACAAATACTGTTTCTGGAGAAGGGCAAAAATAACTGAGTTGCTCTCTGACGACAATTCTAGAAGAAAAGTCACATGGCCAGTCCATTTGTCTATACATTTAAGTCCTAGCTAGTTGACAAAATATGCTGAGTTTAAAAGGATAATAATGTTATTATTAAAGTATTATTAAAGTTGTTTTGTTTTTTAAACTGTGCCATTTAAAAATCACTCAGATTATTTTAGATGATGTTATTGTCTTAGTTTGAGCTGCTATAACAAAATACCATAAACTGAGTGGCTTATAAACAACAGAAATTACTTCTCATAGTTCTGGAAGCTGGAGGTCTGAAATCATGGTGCCAGCATGGTCAGGCTCTGGTAAGGGCCTCCTTCTGGGTTGCAGACTGTCAGACTGTGGTCTTTTCATTGTACCCTCACGTAGCAGAAAGAGAGCTAGGGAGTTCTCTGGGATTTCCTTTAAAAGAACAATAATCCCATTCATGAAGTCTCCACCCACATGACCTAACTACCTCCCAAACACCCCATCTTCTAACACCATCCCACTGTGGGTTAGAATTTCAATGTATGAATTTAGTGGGGGGACACAGCATTCAGTCCCTAGCATTTATGAAATCTGCTAATGATTTTTCAATTCAATTAAAACGTTAACATGTACATAGACGTGTATATTTAACACATAGAGCAGGAAGGAGGGAGTCCACAATGTAGTGACTGAGCCTGCCCTCAGGAAAACTATGGTAGAATACATAAAGCTGGGAGAATAAATAAAGTATGCAAAGTAGGACGCATGCATACAGAAGATGACAGAATCAGCATTCTCAAAGATGGTGTTAGATTTGAATCTTGAACTAGAACTAATTAAATGTAATTTAAAAAAATTTTTTAAAAGCCTATAGTGTTACACTCAGATCCTTCTAAAACAACCATAAATTTATAGGACAGGAAAAACATGACTCACCAGGAATAAAAGGTAAGTCCCTGTGGTCAAAAATAAGTGTATCCAGCTTTTAAAATTTCAGCACCTGGTCCAAATTAGATCATTAATAAATATTTGTTGAACGGACTTGTTCATGTTTAAGAAATTTTGCCAATAGTAGACCTAAGGAGATTCAAGACAGCAATGTAACTTCAAAAATAAAAAGTGAAAGGGCCTTCAAAATCCTAGGTTGGCAGAAAGAGGAAGTTTATAATCTTGCACAATGTTTATTGGTCAGGCCATCCTTAAAACACTGTTTTAGGAGCAGATAGGCAAACTATAATGTGACTAGAAAAGAGGCCACACTCCTGAAAAAACTCAAAACTATATCTTGTAAGAAACAGCCTAAGGAAGCTAATGCTTAACTTGAAGAAGAGATTGTTCAGTTATTTTCAAATATACGAAGCATAATCATAATGAGTTATCATTTATTAAGTAAGTACAATTGCATTGTGTCTCATTTAATCCTGCTAAATGTCATATGAGATATTATCCTCTTTCATCCACTGATGAGAAAACTCTCAGTCAGGTAAAGTAACGTATCTTAATTCCTACAGCTAAAAAGTTTAAGAAGTTACAAATCTAAGGCTGGCAATATGATTTGACTTCAAGGCCAGGGCTTATTATACTGTGCTGATTTGTCTTACACTCCAAGTAAACTTAGCCTGGTTCTGTCCTCAGAGATGGAATAATGGCAGAGAGATTTTGGCTCAATGTGAGTGAATTAATATTAGTTCATAGAAGAATATGTGCTGAGGTATTTTTATTAGTCTTTAGGAGATCTCTGTAATATTTTATTGCTGAAATCATACCCTTTAATATATAAGAGTAAAAATGATACTGAACATTGGCCAAATAACCTATGACTAGCAGGGTTTGCTGGTGTTATTTATTTTCAAGACAAATGATAAAAATAATATTGGAATTAAATGTTCTTCCCAAGCTCTCTACCTCAGCCTTGTCCCTGCTCCCCAAAAGTATAACTTTCTACGACCATTTGGGGCTGTTTAATGATAACGTTTATTGTTAGGAGATACACACATAGGCAAATATACCCATGTATAGATATGGGGATTACTTCAGAATTAGTGTTAACTTTACCAAAACAAAAACAAACAAAAAAAAACCACCTTACTCCTAATTGATTTATAAAATAGAAGAAGCATTTATGGATTTAAAAGTGTGTTATCAAATTTTAAGACGTATCAATATTCCTCAACTTTGTGTGAGCCATTCCAGTTCCAGATGTCGATGCAGTTTCTCCTGGAATTTCTACACTAGAAAACAAAGAAATGAGGCAAATGTTTGGTTTTCACAATCTTCTACTGAGAAGCACGTGTAGGAAGTTTGAAGATAAAAATCAATAATTAGTAATTCCAAACCTTTGAGATTTAAATATGGAGTGTCACCATTATCTTTCTTTGACTTTCCTGAATACCACAACTCCCAGGTTTCTGTGCACAATTCTTATACCTCTTCCTCATCAGGATAGAAATCAGATGCAAATAAAGCTTCTACTCTAAGAGAAATGAGGAATATGGAATAAAGGGTTTCCTCTATAAAAGTTTGTTTCTCATTTCTTTTTCAGAGAAGGAATCACTCTTGTTTCAGGCAGGTTTGAAGATTAGAAATCCTCATTTAGCAATAAGAAACACAAGGTTACCTTTTTTTTTTTTTTTTTGGAAGGTAAAAGGAGGATTTTCTTCTTTTTGAAGAAGAGGATTTTGTGTACCCTACCCCAAATGATTGCTTAAGCAGTAAGGACGGAAGAGCACTGGGGGGTAGGCTTGTCAAGGCTGCATCAGGCCAATGTCTTTCCCGTCATGTTACACTGAGAAAACGGCGCTGGAAAAACAGTGCTGTCAGCCCCCTTTCTTATGCTTTACAGCAGCCAAAAACTAACTCTCTGTTTGTCTCACTCCCCACCCCTTCCTGGTTCTGCCCCTCCTTAAAACTGTTGGCACAGACGAGTGCGGAGTAGGGAGACCAACTCGTTGGATCGCTTTGCGCAAAATCCACTTCGTTCTCCTCCCGCCGCTCCAGCCTCCGGATCCTCACAGCCCTCCCTCCCTTCCCCACAGAGATGTGGGGTTCGGGATGGGTCTGTGTACTTCTAAGGTGGGAGGGGGCTACAAGCAGAGGATAATGTCAGAAGCTTAGCTCTTTCCTTCTGCCTGACGCTCCTCTCTGGCTCCGCCAGTGCTGGTCTCTGTAAGAAATAGCAGGGACCGTGGCAGCGGCGAGAGGAAGCGGCGGAGGCGCGTGGAACCTGAAAAGTCCGGGTGCTCGCGGTTACCTCACAACGTGGTCCCAGCCGGCCGTCAGCACCATGGACAGCAGCGCCGTGCCCGCGAACGCCGGCAACTGCACTGATCCTTTTACGCGCTCTGCAAGTTGCTCCCCAGCACCTAGCCCCAGCTCCTGGGTCAACTTCTCCCACTTAGAAGGCAACCTGTCCGACCCATGCGGTCCGAACCGCACCGAGCTGGGCGGGAGCGACAGCCTGTGCCCTCCGACTGGCAGTCCTTCCATGATCACGGCCATCACCATCATGGCCCTCTACTCCATCGTGTGCGTGGTGGGTCTCTTCGGAAACTTCCTGGTCATGTATGTGATTGTCAGGTAAGGAGGGCGCCAGGGCTCCGAGCGGAGATTTCGGCGGAGGATAGCGGCATAAACGGGCATCTGAGCCCCCAGGCAGTGTTTGGCGGGAGGATGAGTGAAGGGAGGTAAACAGGGGAGAATGTGGAAGTGCCGGTAGAGAGAGTGGTTGCTGTTTGAGTACGAAAAGCCTACTTTTCAATTCTTCCCTCCGTTGATAAAGAAAGGCTTCAAAATTTCAGAAACAGAGAAGTTGCCTTGGTAAAAGCCGTAAAGCTCTGGCAAAAAAAAAAAAAAAAGAAAAAGAAAAAGAAAAAAAATGCTCTATCTTACAGCTTGCTCATACTGAGCCAAGAGGGCTCTTGGGCAGTGTCCCACAGTCCCTTCCTTAGGAGCTGTGGAAACAATAATTTGTGAATAATAGAAAAGAAATTCCAGCTATTTTATCCCTAATTGGGGGGAGGAGGGGAAAATTTCCCTCTCAGTTCTTTTCAGAGATGAACTTGGCAACTTTCCTACTCCTGCTGATTCCAGAGTTTTTGCTGCACCACTGTCCCATCCCTCCTCTTCCCTGATCATAGTAGCCCTTACCCTACTCTTTCTTCTCTCCTGAGGCCACATTCATAGAGGAAGTTTTCCTGGTGTCTTTCCACAGTAAATAGTGTTGCTTTGCTGTAACAAACATAATAGCTGTGTTGCATAGACGAGTTTGTAGTTGACAACTTGCAGACTTGCTTAGGGGAGTTACAAACTGAATCAAGAATAGGTAGGGTGGTTCAGAACTGCAGGACATGACTGTTTTTCAATGCCTCCAAAAGTTGGAACCAGTTAGATGTGACCAAAGGTAGCATAATTCTGGATTATAAACTAATACATTAGAAGTTGTAATGGTTGCTCTGGAAAAAATAAAGTGTCTCTATCCAGTAAAATTATTTCAAAAGAGTTTGTGGTCCACTTTTTATTTGCCCAGATGTCCCAGATTTATCTGGCAAAGAGTGTGCAAACTTTCAATATTAATTGAGACTGATGTAGATTGTGTTAGTGTTGATATGTATATTCAAATCCTACGTGTTAATATGGAATACTATATTTTCACTTTTGTTAAAGTAGGTAATTATTTTAAAGTTTTTAAATGGCTCCTGATTTAGGATTTTCTTCCCAGTAAGTGCTCTATGTAAGTAGTGAACATGGCATTTTCATATTTAGCTATGATATTGGCTTCATCTATTCAGCAAGTATTGCAGGTTTCAGTGGAGCTCTTTAATCATTTAACAATCATTTTCTCCATTATGCTTTCATTAACAAGGTGCAGCAAGTGGCCCGTAATTGATTCTTCCTACTTATATGTCTGATTTCTTTAATTAATGATTGTCAAAAAGTAAAACCAATTTTCCTGACCATTTGATGAGGAATAAGATAAGCAGTGTCTCTGAGAAAAGAGCACCATCTATTGAGAAGAAGGCTAATAACAGAAGGAAAAACCTGGAGGAGAATCAATGGAAGAACTGATTTTTAAAAACATTTAGTTCATGAAGTTCAATACGAAGGTTCATATCAAAGATCAAAACTGTCTCATTTTGCATTTACGATAGTAAAAAATCATTAAAGGCCTGACTCATAATGGGAAAATATGTTTTTCATTTCACCTAAGAAAATTCATAGAATTGTAAGCTTATAGGACTACAAGGGAACTCAGAGCTTATCTATGCTAAGTGAGTAAACTGTGGCACAGAAAATATAAATGATTTCTCCAAGGACAGATAGTTCATTAGTTCAGTATCACTGAATTGCTCTTAGCCAATACAATTTTCTGTTATTAGAGTAGCAAATCATGATTTGAGTTAATTTAACTAAAAGATTGCCAGAGTAGGTTTAGTTAATAATGTGGAAATAATAAATTAATCCAAATTTGTGTCTGGAATCCTTGACAATAAAGGATGAAGAGAATTACCAAAGCATCTAGAAATCCTGCCATCTCAAGCATAATCTTTCATGCCCTTTTATTGCTTTTCTTGGTATTTTTCTTCCTCATTTTCCTCCCCTTTAGTTAATTCTTTTCTATAAAGAAAGAGCCACTAGACAGGAACTGGCTGTGAAATAAGCAGATTGGTTTTATTCTAGTGTTTAAGAGATTGCTGGTTGCAGTTCATCTTAGAAGCATTACCTCTGACCTTTTGATGACTGGAAAAGGATGATGACATTGTCTCTTACTGACAACATGATATTATGCTTTACTTTTCTGTACTGAAATTCTAAAATAAAAATGCAGTACAGTTTGAAAGATTCCCCCAAACACCCACCTGTAGCAAATTGGGTGTTTAATTTCAAGGTCAGGTCATCCTCTGGAAATGTGAAACAGAAAAATAGATACACCTCAGTGACCAGTGAAGTGATGAGGAAAGCCTCTGGGGACGGAAGACAATATATCTATTTAGCTGAGAATATTTAACTGGACTGTGGTGTTTTCACTACAAAATGATCAGTTGAAGGATATTTTTGCTCTTGTTAAAAAGGATGAGTGTAATGCTGCATCTGTCAAAGTATTGAGGTGAAATGCTTACTTCCTGCTATTATTTAAAACTCTGCAAATAACCAGATTAAGATAGTATTTATTAGACTTTCTTAATACATTGAGTGGATCATGAAGCTCAGATGACTATGGCAACAAAAACAACAAAAAAATAATGAGTAATACAGATGCCATGAACGAGCAAAGATTTTCTGTCCTGTATCTTGACTCCATCAACATCATACTTCATCAACAATGTTATTAAATAAATAGTAAAAATTAAGTAACATTCTTACGTGGTGCTGTTCTAAGGAGCATGTAGGAGGAAAAGAGATACTGTCACATGATCTAAAGATTTAAAATCCAGATGTTAAATGATAGATTATTGTAACTTTTCATCATCTGAAAGCTTTTTTGGTTTAAAGATAAAAACTGCTTGCAGGATAACTACACTATAAAAATTACCACAAATATTCTGGAAGATACGGTGATGAAAATATCATAAAATATGACAATTATTTAAAATGGGATGATAGTATATTATTGTTAAGAATGTTTTAAAGAAAAAAATGAATCAAAATAATACACAAAGTTATACCCACCAGGAATGTTTCATTTGTTGAAAATATTTGACCAAAGTATAGAATTAAACATACTGTAAAAATTGACATAGTCCCAGATGAATTTATTTTGTGAGATTTTTTTCAAAAACAATTTGTCAATGTAGTCACCAACATGGTCTATGCAGATACTGTTAAAAAAAGTATAGGGTTAAAAACTGTGAGATCTCTGTGGGCTGTGTAAACCATCCTTCCAAATAAAGCTCCAGTGAAGGGTGCCAAATTATGTGGCCTTCTTTTTTAAGATTATTTCTTAATTTGATGAGATAAACTGTCAATATGACTAGCTATCAAAGAAGAGCATTTAAATATATGCAAGATATTACTGTCTTTTATTTCACTAAAAAGTATTTCTGATTCTAAAACATGTCTTATGAGATCTATGTATTAAATATTATTAAATACTTGATTCAGGCTTAAAGTACAAAATGATCAATTTCATGCAAGTGTTTTCCCAAGCCAACTAACATTTCCATAATACTTATTTACAATATTCAGAAAATAAATTTTCATCAATTGCTGCAACAAGTATATCTGTTTATGAATATAACCCAGGCATAGTTTCTCCACTTCTAAGAAGGAAATAAAAATAATTAGTTTCTGACTACTCTAAAATGTCATTCAAAAGATAAATGCTGACAGTATTCACTTTGGCATTTTGTATGCCTTGAAGGAAATTTACACATAAAAGTTGAAAAGATTTCTTCTTCTAGTATTCCACTTTCACTATTAATCGAAATCAAATTGTTTTAATCAGCAGGAAAGGATAAACTCATTTTAATAAATAGTATAAAACAATACAGCATTTTAAAATATACTAATGATAAATATGAAGACTGAATGTTGTGTGAAATTTTAAGATATGAGAATGTCATATCTTTAGCCCTCACAAAATTTAACGTATATTTAACTGAGATAATGATTTAGGACAGTTAGTATCTAAAAATGTTTTTCAATGTAGACACTTACTTCAAGAACTTGGAAGACAAGATGTAAAGCAGATCAAAGAAGATCTGTTTCTGATTAATCGTGTGTTGGGGCCCAAGAGCACAGCTCAACTGCTACCCTTAGCCCCCCTCCATTGCTGTCCTCAAGGCACCTACATGGAATTTCTAGGGCTCCTAGATGGTGTGATGTTTTAACACAGTGGTCTCCATGCTGCTTCAGACTCTTCTTGAATCCCACCTCCAGCACAACTTTGACATCAGTGATTGGTATGGCACTCAGTTTCGCCAAGACAGAACTTGGTAACACTTCGCCTTAGCTGCGTCTATATCCCTCGCTTCTGCCCTAGCCCTGGATCTCCTCTGACTGCATTGCCCTCCGCAGGAATCAGCCTCGCACTCACATGTGAGGAAGTGTGAGGAAGTTGTCACCCCCTGAAACAAACTTTGGCTGGGGAAATGGGAGCCCATGGACAAGAGGTCCCTTCTTCTTCCCTCTCCCTTTGGGTGCATAGTTCTGCACAGACCACAAGGCACATTGGAAGATCTGGGCCACACTGTGATCAGTTCAAAAATATGCTTGCTTTCCCTCATTTCCTGTTTTCCTCTTTTACTTCCCCACTTCTGTTCCCTTAAATCACTTTCCAAAATGATTCACCTTCACACTAGCTCTTGTCTCAAACACTGCAAAGCTCATCATTCCAGTTATTTTATAACTGGCTACTATATGTTGGCACAGTAAAATCTGATAAAAAGGTAGAGCTTTACAGACTCATTGAGTATAAGATTTTCCCCCAAATTAGAAATTCTTAACAAAAATTCTAAGCAGCCCCAATCAGAACAACCAAGACAGTTCATAAGCTAAACTTTTGCTTTCATTTTTCTCCCCTGCCTCAGAATTCAGAAAAGGCTTCAGTACATTTTGCTTTAACAGATAAGGAGTAGGCA